TCAAAAACAGGCTGCTTCGGTCTGATACACACACATGGACACACACACACACACACACACACACACACACACACACACACACACACACACACACACACACACACACACACACCTTCCCTTCCCGAGAGGGTCTGCGTTTCCTTTCAATGTGGCGACCACATGTGCGGCGCTGAAAGTGTTTCACTCAATGCTGCTTCAGTTCCACAGACAGAACACAAACCGAGACACACACTGTTTCAGTTCTGTGGATCAATAGATGAGTGTGTGTGTGTGAGACCAGGACTCTTTCTCTGTTTGTGTGTCTGTGTTGTGCTTTGGGAGCCCAGTGGCGGCTGTATTTGACAGCTGCATCATGGGAAACAACTGATGTGATGTTGCATCATGTCCTCTGTCTCTGCATATATGAACAGTACATCCATGTATGTGTGGGCAGCTGGACAAAGTCACGAGTAAATGCCAAGTCAGTTTTTTTTAAAAACAATTTGTATCGAGGAGTTGAGCATATTAGGTTGTCTAGTTGACTGAGGTTGTGTGTGTGTGTGGTATTAAACAGGATGTTTACCATGGACATGTGTATATTAGTTTAATAAATCTTTGACTCTGAAAAATGTGGTGTTTGTGTGATAGCTTGTTCTATTTCTTCGACAACAAGCTTAGGTTCATTGTACTTCAAAATGTATTTTCTCGTTTAACTTGTTGTACCTTGGGACAGAGTTTTTCCATTTAACACCTGTCAGTTTTCCTTTATACGTTTCCCTGTGCGTCAGAGTTGTTTTGTCTCAACTCATCACCATTCCTGCGGTCGTCTTAGTTGCTTTAGACAGCGGCTCTTAAACAAATATGTGCCCGAGTCACTAACCCTCAAAATGAACGCACATCAGTGACCACCATCACAGCAGGATTGTTAAGCCATAGATGTTGTTTTTAAAGTTTTGTATGGAATTTAAAGTGATATGTTTGTAGTGATTTTCCACACCTTGTATAACACTCCATTAGTGGTATTAATATGTATCAAATAGTTTAAATATTGATAACAGAGCAGATGGCAAACTCGGCCTGCCTCTGTAAAGCACAGAGGATCAGATTAATCATTGATTTATTATAATATTATATATGTTTGTTATTTAAACCATAAAACCTGGATCAGGGTGTTCTGGTTTAAATCAATTTCACAATGTTATTTTAGGACTATTTCATGACATCTTTTAATTGACATGATTATGATGAGATCATCTAATTAATGTCTCTTGCAGTAAACTGTCTTCCAGCATTTTGATTTACACCTTAAAAACTCTTAACAATTGTAAACAACATTCCTCAACAACTACTGTATTCATTCACAAGTCATTAATTAAGGCATTAGACAGAAAATCATAATTATTTTATCACTGAAATCCAACTAATGATAATACAGTATTACATTATTACCCAGGCCTAGCTCTTGTAACTAATTAGTAACATCTAATTTGATATTATGTATCATATCAATCAACCAGAGAAGGAGACCCCCTTTGTTGCCTCTCAAAGCGCCATTTTACACATGGTTATACCCGCAAGTTCCTTAAGTCAGTGGTTCTCAAATGGGGGTACGCGGACCCCTAGGGGTACGTTGGAGTACTGCAGGGGGTACGCGGACCCCTAGGGGTACGTTGGAGTACTGCAGGGGGTACGCGGACCCCTAGGAGTACGTTGGAGTACTGCAGGGGGTACGCGGACCCCTAGGGGTACGTTGGAGTACTGCAGGGGGTACGTGAGATTTATTTTATGTTAATGAAAGAAAAAACGTAATTAATGCATTTAGGCAAGGCAAGGCAAGTTTATTTATATAGCACCTTTCAACACAAGGCAATTCAAAGTGCTTTTAAACACACATTTAAACAAACTACTAATAGTAGATTAACTACTTTCTTCAAAAGTGTACAGTAACTCTGGATAATAAAATGGGAACAATAAACGGGGTGCTCTCTTTTCCTCTCCCTCTCCTGACAGCTCGTCAGGCTCGTGCAGCTCGCTGAACCTGTAATAACTGACACGACAGTAAAGAATACATATATGTATAACTAGTTTAGCTAGTTCCAGAGTACATAAACTAGCTAAGTGTGTTAGGTCTAACTCTTAGTGTATTTTCCTCCACTCAACGCTCCGTCACAGCGGACGGAGCTGTGATCATGCAGAGCTGCGTGTTCAGCAGCAGCTGATCTGATCTCTCTCTCTCGTCCGGTTATACTTCACTCGCGTTTATGTCCAAATCTATCAGATCTAGCTAGTTCTAGTTAATTATATGACTGCCTGCTTATCAAAGGACCTAAACAATAAGAGTTGCTTGGCAACGGCGTGTGGCCGCAAAGTATAGCATATATGAGGGGTCAAAATCCCATTCTCATAAAATGCTCATATATCTTTTCTCTTCATTCCCCACGCCCCAAAGTAAATAAATATACTAATTTTAGGAAAAGTAACAAAGTTTGAGCAGTGTGGGTTTTATATGAACAGAGTTAAACATGTTTCAAAACGTGAAGTGTAATAACTGCAGTTGCCTCATGTCAGAATGACAAAGATCCTCAGTGAAGCACGAGCCCATGTTTCACTATATTGTAAGTACAACTTATTAAAAAGATCAGTTCAATGCAACTAATGTCGTCTCAGTGTTATTGCATGATGTTAAAATTGGTTTGCCATGAATTTAGTGATGGATTGTAAACATTTGAAATGTAGCATTTAAGTGTTTCTCAGTTACAAGGTTGTTGTTTTAATAAATCAGACACTGATGGTGCATCGCTGTACTGTACCTCTTTATATAGGCATTTTTTCCCTAACAATTGTTTTTGCGCTGATCAGGGGGTACTTGGCTGAATGTTTTTTTCAAAGGGGGTACATTATTGAAAAAAGTTTGAGAACCACTGCATTAAGTAATACACTGATGTCATCACACATGCAGGATACGACCTCATAACTGATCTGGCCTGACCTATCCGGTAGTCGGAAGCGGAAGAAGCAACAGATGGAAGATGAGAAGGCAGGGAGGGAGGGAGGCAGGCAGGCAGAGCGGCAGAGTGTAGTTTGTTAGCTGGGTTGTCTGGGATTCCAGCAGGATTAGCCAGAGGAAGTCTTGAGTCTGTTTGTGGTGCTTAAAGGGCAAAGCTGTAGGCAAGACCAGAGAGTGACGTCACCACAGAGTGGATCACACACACACACACACACACACACACACACACACACACACACACACACACACACACACACACACACACACACACACTCACACACAATAAAAGCCACTTGAGTCCACACGTTCACCTGCTTGATTATCCTGAGCTTTTCTAAATGGCAAAAAGGCTTATGCTATATGACTTACAGAAGCAGAGAGTGTGTGTGTGTGTGTGGGTGTGTGTGTGTGTGTGTGTGAGAAGGGGAGCAGGACAAAGAGTTTCTTGTATTTTGGGAGGGGATGGGGGGTATTTGGGCCTGTTGGGTCCAGTCCTGGGGGCCAGGGATGGGAATGTGCAGTGTGTGAGTGTGTGTATGTGTGTGTTTGAGCAGAGGAATGCTGCTGTTTGCTGAGTGAAAAGCAGAGAGGGAGCAGAGACTGTCCAAACACACGTCTGTTTGAGTGTGTGTGTGTGTGTGTGTGTGTGTGTGTGTGTGTGTGTGTGTGTGTGTGTGTGTGTGTGTGTGTGTGTGTGTGTGTGTGTGCGTGTGTGTGTGTTCCCCATGCTATGACCTTCTACTCAATGAGGACTTTCATATCCACTCATAGTCTCCATGGTAGGGGAGCAGACCGGACTGAGAGAGGTCTGTCTCTTCATACCTGAGACCTACACACTACACATATTTACACACACACACACAAACAGTAGTCCACACTGCGGACTTTGCTCAGTTTGTGTACTGTATGCGTAGGTGTGTGTGTGTTTGTTTACTGTGCTGTTGCCTGTTTGTTTAGCCAGTGAGGGGTCACGGAGGTGGGATGGAGAGATGGAAGGAAAGAGGAGATGATTATGAAGAGGTGATTTATGAATGCAGGAAATGACTTAGGAGGAAAGAAAGGAAGGATGAAATTAGTAATATTTAAAATGAAAGGAGGGAGTGAAGGATGTGAGTAATAGGTGAAGGGAGGGAAACAAGGAGGATCATGCAGGAGGAGTTCCTAAAAATGGGGATGGAGGGATGGAGAAGAGTAAAAAGAAGAATATCTAAATAAGTGAGACACAAGAATGGAGGAGAAATTGGTGAAGAAAGGAGACCAAGTGAAAGGTAAAGAGAAAGGATCATTTTACCTTAATTACAAAATAAGTAATAAATAATATCCGAACACACCTACTAGTTGTTTCTTTAATTTGGTGGACAATAGCCTTTATCAAAATCAGGTTTTAAAATATTAAACTGACCATGATAATCTCACTTGTGACTAATGGCCTAGTGTGAGTGTGTGTGTGAGAGTGTGTGTGAGAGTGTGTGTGAGAGTGTGTGTGTGAGAGTGTGTGTGAGAGTGTGTGTGTGAGTGCAGTGTGATTTATTCGGAGGCCAGATCTGCCTCCAGCCATCCCAGCGGGGTCCCAATGACTTTACCAGCCTCAGACCTCCACCACACCACAGAGACGCAGGAAGAGAGCGTTGGAGTTTTTTTGGAGGGGGAGATATGGATTGTGGAAAACATCATTTTAAATCTGCTAATTCTATTAGGTCCTCTTGCTTCTCCTGCAGAGCAGTGGTTTCCTTCTCAGTGAGCCGTCATGTGCCCTTCTGTGTTCTCGAACATTTATCACGATGCTGCAGACATCATCGTCTCCTAAGTCTGTTTGCCAAGAAATAAAAAGAAAGGAATGGCTGCATTTACATATGATCACTGGAGAAGTGTGACATCTGTGTCCCACCACAGTGGCCGGCCCCTCAGTGTGTGTGTGTGGCTGTGTTTGTGTTGATCCTGTTGATTGACACATGTAAATGAGAATGTACTCTAGCTGCCTGGTTAAATAAATAATTATTCTCCTTCCTTGCAGGTCCTGCTGAGGTCCCCATGATGTCCCCACATGGGTCAATCCCCCCCATCCACGTCCCCCCAGGATACATCTCACAGGTTAGTGTGTGTTTGTGTGTGTTTCTCCTCACTCTAATCATCTCAGACATGTTTTTATGATCATCATGTGTTTGTGTTTTCCTGGAGTTCCAGGCAGACCAACACAGAGTGCAACTGCATTTCATTAGCCGGTGTTTTTCTTTCTTTCCAAAAAAGTCTTGTATGCCAGCATTATGATCTAATATGGACTCTTAAAATCACATTTTTATTAGTTCAAAGTAAGTCATAAGTACACAAACTCGACATCATTTAACATCTTTCCAATACAAATATATGAAGTCTTGTCACTTGAGGCTTGTTACTGTTAATTTCATGGAAAGCGGTAAGAAAAATGAAATTGAAATGAATTGCTCAGAATTGATTGCATTGCAAATAAAGATGACACAAAAAGTTTTCTGAGTAAAGCACAACTGGCTAAAAGTCTTTTGTTTTGTATTGGATGAAGTGTTCAATATGATAGAAGACTTATTAACTACACAGGAAGCATGCACCAGGCTTTACACCGATCCTGGTCCTGGAGTTTAGAAGCAACCAAAAGGCAGCCTCCTCCAGGAATGTGCTGAATTCTGGGCGTTAGGGGGCTCTTGTTTTTGTGAGTGTGAGTGTGAGTGTGAGTGTGAGTGTGAGTGTGTGTGTGTGTGTGTGTGTGTGTGTGTGGGAGAGTGTGGGAGAGTGTGTGTGTGTGTGTGGGAGAGTGAGAGTGAGCATGTGTGTTCTTCATTATGTCCTCACAGAAACAGAAAGATGAGAAACATCTCCCAAAGTGCAGATTCTTACCTTGGCGCTTTTGACATTCAAGTTCGACATTATAAGTTGAGCAAGGGTTAGGTTTGCCATGTCGGGGGTGTGGAGGGATTAAAGGTTTTTCAAACAACAAGAGTCAATAGTCTGTCCGCACAAGTATAGTGTTACACATGCATCTGTGGTCTGCATTGGGCGGGACCGTGTTCATATGCCAATGGAAGTCAGGTCATTGGCTCACCGTGGGTGTGTGTTTGCATGTGTGTGTGGTTGTGTGTGTGAGTAGGGACCGGGCCAAGAGTGAGCGGGAAACACTGTCACTCTTACATAAACAAGCCTGATAAGGGAGACAGACACTGAAGGTTTTTATGGGATGTAGGGATGGGAGACGGGATGGATGGAGAACACACTGCGGTGGTGGAAAGTAGTGCATTGGCAGATGGATTTAGCGTGTGTGTGTGTGTGTGTGTGTGTGTCCTTTGTGATTTGTGCTAATGGTTGAATTTTGATAGTTGGAGTGTACATGAATATTTGTATGTGCCTTCCTGTTTGTGTTACGCTTAATGTGTGTGTGTGTGTGTGTGTGTGTGTGTGTGTGTGGGTGTGTGTGTGTGTCTCTTTGCCAGTAAATGTTGCGTGGGTTGATAGGTCGGTCGGTCCACATGTACTCTTGCAGGAACTTTGCCCCTGTTTTCCTGTAAACACTCTGTTTTTCTCCTCTGCAGCAGAGGAGGGATCAGGCGCAGATCGGGGGCCTCCTCCCCCTTTTTTCGTTTTTCTCACTCAGATTAGTAACCCTCTTCCTCCCCTCCCGACGCCCTTTAATACTCTCTCTTCTTTCTTTCTGTCTGTCGTATTCTGGCACAGAGTCTGTTGCCTCTCACTGTTGGGGTTTTGGGGTATTGTTGTTGGGGTGAGTGTGTGTCTGTGTGTGTGTGTGTGTGTGTGTGTGTGTGTGTGTGTTTGTTTTTGTTAGGGACCAGCAGATGACTTCCCCTCTCTGCAGGGAGTGTGTGTTTGCACTCTGCTTGGAATGCAGGCCTGTGAAAGCGTCTGAATAGTTGGAATGTGTGTGTGTGTGTGTGTGTGTGTGTGTGTGTGTGTGTGTGTGTGTGTGTGTGTGTGTGTGTGTGTGTGTGTGTGTGTGTGTGTGTGTGTGTGTGTGTGTGTGTGTGTGTGTGTGTGTGTGTGTGTGTGTGTGTGTGTGTGTGTGTGTGTGTGTGTGTGTGTGTGTGTGTGTGTGTGTGTGTGTGTGTGTGTGTGTGTGTGTGTGTGTGTGTGTGTGTGTGTGTGTGTGTGTGTGTGTGTGTGTGTCCTATCCGTGAATGTGAAAGTGAATACACTTAAGGAATATATGTTAATTTGAGGCAGCTCTTTGAAACTTGTTGTTATTGAAATCTGCAGACCATCTGATGGCAACATTGCGGCTCTTGTTTTCACCACTCAAAGTTCCAAGCATCCTTTTAGCACAATGTCTCACTTGTTAAAGTAATAATGGTAATCATTCTTTTATTAGATATCCACTATTTGACCGACAGAGCACCTGCTCACTAGCAAATGATTGACAGCATCATTTTGTAGGAGCAGGTGCTCTAAGACCTTTGAATGTTTGAGAAATTGCTTTTTAAAAATAGATACAAAGACTATAACAATTTTAAAAAAAACGACTTTGACAGTTTGCTTATTCATTTGCCAACAAAATGAATACCTGTTGGCTGATGCTTCATTTCTTACAGTAAAAGGAGTGGTATCAATCTTCTCATCTTAGTCAATACAGTGTTTAACTATTCCTTAAAGCCATTCCAGGTATGTAAAGTACATAAAAACCTGTGATATCAGCTTAACTCTTATAAGATAAGATAGAGCTTTATTGATCCCCGTAGGAGAAAATAATTCACACAAGGATATTTAGAATACAATAAGAGTATTGTATGTGAGTAACAGTATGTAGAAACTGCAGAGGTCGATGTCCTATAGTTTACATTCTATACATTATCTTCTAGACTAAATATCACATTGAAACTATAATAAAAGTAATTCTGAACCACTTTTAGCGAGCACTATCCTGCAAACCCTCGTCTCAACAGCGTATAAATCAGTCACAGACTGCGTGCACTTTGCTGACCTCCCATGATTTGTGGGCACAAAAGCCATTTAGGATGTGTGTGCAACATTTCCAAGGGTTCTGTTGGCGGTGAGCTGTGACTTCCTCTGAAACTCAGCTCCCTGTCTCTTCTTCCGTGTCTCCCGCAGGTTCTGGAGGATAACACAGGCGTCCGCCGGGTGGTGGTGACCCCCCAGTCTCCAGAATGCTACCCTCCCTCCTACTCTCCGGCCCTCTCCCCCACACACCACCTCCCCCCCTACCTGACTCACCCCCACTTCATCCCCAACTCTCACTCTTTCTACCCCCCTGTCAGCCCCGGGGACCTGTCCCCCCACCAGTACTACCAGCACCACCTCCCCCCCATGTACGGGGATCAAGGTAATGACATGCTGACTGGCTTTTATGCTACTGCCAAATCCACAGGAGGATTTTGCAGAATCAAGAATTACATTATTTTAAATGTGTGATTTTATGCTGACTTATATTTGTTTCTGTCCTTCAGAAATCATCCCTGTTTATGGGATGTCTAACTACATAGGTAGAGAGGAGACATACAGTAAGCCACAGCCCAAAAAGATAAAGGAGAGACAACTAGAGCGACAGAACCGACTCAACTCCCCTCCCTCCCCTCTCTATAAGGGCTGCCTGGGGCCAGCACACAACGGATACAGGTGACCACCCTGCTTCCCCCCACATGATTCCCCCCACATGATTGGTTGTCTTTTTCACACATTAAGCGATGAAAAGGGGACTACAATTTAGATAAGACCTGGTCTATGTTGTGTTATCACTATCAATGTCAAACATGTTTGTAATTTCTTCACTTGGGCATCTGGAATTTTGTCAATTAACCTTAATTATTGTGTGAAGAATATTCTAATATTTGTCAGTGTGTGGCTGTGTGATCAGACCATTAAGGGGTTGAGAATATAGCTCAAAAACAACCTAAATGCTCTTTCACTGTGTTCAAAAGTATCCCTAGTCATAATTACGTATTCATATGTTTACATTTTGGCTTGTACTATTTCCTGTTTTTTCTCTAACTTACACACATTTCTGGTTTAACCTTATTTTTTTGATGCAGCAACAAATCACACGCCCCCTCGCTTGGGTCATTGGGGTCAGGGGGCGGACTCGGCAGTCCAGGAGGGAAGAAGCCAGAGAGACGACTCCGCAGCAGTCCAAGAAACAGTGAACCAGACACACACACACAAGGTAGGCACACACACACAAAGTATAAAGAGAGACTGGCACACTGCAACAACTGTTCACTGTTCCTTTCCGAAAAGCCCACAGATAAATCCAAAAGTGCTAAATCAAAGGATCATAGAGTGATGTGTGTTTCTATTTAGAAAATCACACTCCAAGGAGACAAACTCTTAATATCTGCACATTCCTTTAGTCTTACATTGCTGCTGGAGTTGAATAGTAGATATTTGAACATGAAACCAAACAGGTTCATACCTCTTTCTGGAAGAATAACTTTTATCCCCGCTGACCTCCCTCTCTGCCTCTATGTGACTGCCTTTGTCCTCTTCAACCTCAATGCCCCCGTCCATTCAAGCGGGCCAAATAAAACACACCTTTCGCTCCTCTCTTTCTCTCGCTCTTTTTTCTCTCACAGAAAGTCACCCGAAAAAAATGAATGGATGTATGCAGCCTCATTGAGGTGAATTTGACGGGGGGGGGTTAGTGGTGAAGGTGGGGAAGGGGGTACGAGAGGTTGTCTGGGTAACCACATAGCTGAACCCGTCCCTGAGCGCTATCGTTTTACCCTCGCTACAATACCGGCCTTGTTGGTGAAGGCTGAGCCAGAGGGGGGAGGGGGGGTGAGAGAGAGAGGGGAGACAGCAGGGGGAGGGGGGAGGCACATACCTGTAGAGTCCTGCTTGAGATGAAGGAAACCTTTGAGCTCTGAGATTTAGACACCACAGTGTAGCCTTATCGCACACACACACACACACACACACACACACACACACACACACACACACACACACACACACACACACACACACACACACACACACACACACACACACACACACACACACACATAAAGAGTTTTACATGAGGGTGCACACACACACACACACACACACACACACACACAGTCCTCTTTAATGACATGTCTTTTGACACGGCAGATGTATGTCAGAATTATGAAAGAAGAGCAGAGTATCTAATTTAAGCACACACATGCACACGCACACACACCACACACGAACACACACACACACACACACACACACACACACACACACACACACACACACACACACACACACACACACACACACACACACACACACACACACACACAGCAGAAATGGTTATCCACAGAGGTGATGACTGGAAAACACAACCAGACACATAAATCTATCGACTCCCTTGTTGTTACCTTCAAATGTACCCTCCTCATAAAACGGTGCTTTGCTGCCTCACAGCATGGTGTCGGATCAGAGGAATATTATATGTGCATCAGATGTGGGAATGCCTTTGTTTTCCACAATCCACAAGAATGGTCGTTAATGTGAACTTAAATGCTCCTATTTGTTTGAAGAGACATTTCTGAACATAACCATCTTGTTATTTACTTTCATTTCTATAGTGAACAATAGTTTTGTTGGGATAATTAGTTATTCCTATTCCTTTTTCAATAAGTTATTAAATAAAATGTTAGAATGATTTTTTGTTTTGTTTTGGTGTGCTGGCATAACGAAAAAAGCCAAAAGAATTGATAGATGGTGTTATATTAAATAATGATCCTTTGTAGCCTTTCTGTTGAAGAGAAATGAGGATGCTAAATGCTCATTCATTCACTGCAATGGGACGGAAGAAGAATTTGCACTGTTTATGAGACAAATACTTCATAACATATGCAATTAAAACAAACAAGAAATGACTAGATTTCAAGAAGAAAACATTTTGTGTTGTGAAAATGCCCAAATTATCATTTGTTCCTATTATTATAATCAGTTCTCACTTGATTGAATTGAAACCTGCACACATACACTCATAGAAAGCACTGCATGTGCCATTGAAGACATCTGCAAATGCAAAACACACACATTCATACACAAGAGGCGGTGTTTGACTGCATTGCAGTAGGGGGAGACTCCACTGCTTCCACACACACACACACACACACACGCACACACACACACACACACCAAGGAATACATAGAGAAAAGGAAAGCGAGGTGAACGGCTCAGCTTGTGAGTATCACAGTTTCATGTAGCGCATGCAGTCATGATTTAACAACAATATCACACATGACGGACAGGAGCATGTCAGCATGTCATCGGTTGTCTATTCTGGTCTGCCGGGGTCTCAGTACTTGGCTGGAGATTAGGCTGAGTCAGCTAGATGTACCACACAACACACACCAAAGACGGACACACACACGCAGAAACACCCCGTGACTGGGCTTCCTGTAAAACAATCAGAGCATGAGGGTCCAGAGGTTTGGGCAGGAGGTAGGGGGCCTAACAGCGAAAACATAGAGGAATGTCAGGTTTGAAGGACAGATGAAAGAAGAGGGGAAAGGATGGAAAGGTTTGTAAAAAAAAAAATGAACCCGAACTTCATCACAGGGAACAGAGAGATGGAAAGACGGAGAGACAGAGAGTTAAAGAGCAAACATTCCGACAAAGTTGCTGTTTGGCCCGGTGCATCCAAGTATGGTCCAACCCAGAATACCACACACACACACACACACACACACACACACACACACACACACACACACACACACACACACACAGCCGCCTACGCTTTTGCCCTTGATGCCCTTGCTCTTTGTGTGTCGGTGTGTGTGTGGCTCTTGCTGCAGTGCCAGGAAGGCAGCAGGCTGACTTGGCGAGCACAGTGTCCATTCCCCAGTAAAGCCAGCTAGGCCCCTCTTTCCTCAGAACTGAGCTGCTAGCTGAGCAGAAACAGATGTGGGCTCCGTCCCCTCTGTTCCTCCATCTTGGCACTGCATCATCACCACCGCAGATCCTGTCTCTCACTCACAGAAACTGGGGTTTCAGCTGAAACAGATGGGCCAGCACCCTCAGCTCCTCCATCTTTGGTTCTACGTCATTGCCAAGTGCGTAACTTCAGGAGAAACCAGATGTGCTCGGTGACTGCCGTGTCCACCATGTTGGCTCACAGGAGTAAATAAGAGGGAGGCTCATAGATATAACAATGGTCTGCTGTTGGGGTATTAAAACTGTGGCAACACAGTTATCAATAATAGAGGGGGGACATTTCAACTTAAGTCGAAAAAGATGGCTTACTAGTTCCCTTTCTTTTCTCAGAAAAGGCATTAAAGGCGGGGTAGGTAATTTTGGAGAAACCAGCTCGAGTGCGCTAGAATTTGAAAATACACAGCCGGAAAAAATCTGCCTCTTCCTTCAGACTTCCTCACAGAGCCCCTCCTCCAACACACATGAACGCGCACATGACCAATGAGGGGACGAGATAAGTGTGTGCACAGATGGAAGGCTGACAGGCAGGTAGGCCATCCAGTTACTTTAGCCGGGCCGGGTCAGATGATTGGTCGTGCTTTTTACAGCACCACGGCTTCCACAGATGACATTATTTTATGTATTTATTGTCAAAGCATTTAATATATTCATTGCTATCGGGATGTTAAGAGCATTCCATGGAATATAACAAAAAGTGTTTCCGAAATAAATGACCTACCCCACCTTTAAGTGTTTCATTTTAAATGCAAATGTCTAAGAAACAAAAATTAGGGAAGAAAATCCTGAATATTTTTTCTTTATTGCCAAAAATAATAACTATGCGCCACAAAAAGGATGTTTTAAAATATTCAGTTCCTTTTTTACAAAAGCCTACATGAAAATATTTCTTGCTGCGCCTTTGAAAGAAAGCTGACTGGGTGAAAAGAGCCCAATGTCACCACAAATTGAAGTCACAGGCTAATTGTAGAGGCTAAAACAAATGTAGTGTAACACAAGAACAAAGGAGCATTGAGTGAGTTAACTGACTACTATCAGTTACATAGACACCCTGTTATTGTTGGCTTTGTTCTAGTCCTGTTATTTTCTTATTATTTTCTAAAGAAGTCGCAGTTCCAATTAACTTTTTTCGCACAATGCAGTGGTAAAAATAGGCTTATGAAAGCACAATGTCTCGTAACATTGGTGATGTCATGCTAATAAGCTCGAGTGGCCTTTGACCGAATCATGACTCAGTCCTTATTTTAACACCCGGCTCCTCCTGCGGTCACTGTAGTAACAGAACTGGAAACGTGTGAACACACTAACAACACCCTTTGCTTACTGGACTGTTGATGTGAATCACCATAGCGATAATCCCCCCCCCCCCAACAAACTCCGACCCCTTCCCACAAACCCAAATACGGCCATGGTTGTAGGGCAAGATGGAGGGCAGTGGCGTGGAAGAGAGAGGCTACAAGAGGGGGTAGAAGAAAGAGATAAGACAAGGAAACAGGAAAAGAGAGAAATGATGGACAGCAATTGGGGATTGAAAGAGTCAAAAGGAGGAGGGGGGGTGTATACAGAAAACAGAGAGAGAACAAGGGATGGCTTTACCAGCAGAGGAATGTCTTTCCCGCTGATATCATGTAACAGGACTAGTGGGATTAGAAGGGGAGGTTGTTCTCGCCAATCACAATGAGTCCACCAGACATTACCCCATCCAGCTGAATGCACCCTGTGATACAAGTGATAAACTCGGCCCAATCCAACCAGCGACAAGAAGTGGGTTTCCTAATATATTAAGACCTTTCTAATGCTTTAGCAGGGTAACGCTGAGTAAAACATAAACAAATTAAGAAATTGAAAGTCCCAGTCATCAAGGGTTTAATGCTCAGAAAGCGGATTTACAGATTCTGTATGTAGTTATTTTAGACCAATGTTCAGCTAACCTTGTGACCACCCCTTTTGTGTCACTACTAGGCTAGGCTTTTTGTTATTGTATGGTCTTAAGAGGTGCACCTGCTGTACACAGCTAAAGGTTTGGGACTTCAAGGCTAACACCAGAAGCAGCGAGACATAGAAGATACCTTTGTCAAAGTCGGACTGAAATACTTTGACTGATAAAGTGCAGATTTCATCAAACAACAGGGTTATCATTTTGTAATATACGCATCTTCGAAGTGTTCTTTTTACATTTAAGATGCAATTGTATGGACATAGACTCGATCAATCTGCGTCTCTATCCGCATCAGAACATCTGC